CCCCTGGAACGTGGAAAAACTGTAACCCCCCCGAGCCCGTCCCGGAGCTGTTCGCATCGACTTACAAAATTAAAATACATTTCCTGGCTCAGAATTTGATGCTCTTTCGAATGAGATAGGTCTCGACTAATGCGCCAGACTTCGCTGTAAAGATGGTATTTTACCGGTGGAACTCGCCAACTATGAAGATGACGAAAACATTATCTAACCTATTTAAGTCTTTTATTTATTTGAATTCACAAATAAATGAAATTTAATATTATGAAAGTTATTGTGAATATATGAAATGTTTGCTGGTGTTATTGCAAAACTCTTAAGCCAAATCACAATATCATCAAATAAGAGCTTTTCTTTCTAGCCGAAACGGCATCATTTTTAGTGATTTTTTTGAAAGCAACTAAGAATTTTCTTTGAAAAGTATTTGCATTAGTGCGATATTTGATTGTTAAACTATATTTTGTAAGCAATAAAAAAATCGACTCATAGATGTTTTTTAGAATACTGCTTCGCTCAGACATTCATTCACAAGAGTGGAAGAAAGTAATGACACGTTCTTTGTTTGCTACTGGCCAGCTTTATGCTCCACTCTTTTTGACTTACGAAAGCATTCTCTCCACAGCATTCTGAATGACTGCGACATCTGTGAAGTTCTAAAACAGGGATCAACACCGTGTGACTATGTCAGTGTAGCAGCTGAAAGACGACGTTCAGTTCGCTCAGAAAAACTATTCGACCAGTTCAGCTCGTTCAGAAAGAACTGTTTAAAAAGTTCAGTTCGCTCAAAAGAACTGTTCGACCAGTTCAGTTCGCAGAATATAGCATTTTGAACAGTTCATCAGTTCTGAACGAAACCTGAACTTGGAAAGGTCTACAACCTTCTACGGTCTTTCTTTCAAAAGTTGCGAGGATTATAAGTTTCTCTATTGTAGAAAAATTTTGTTTCCAAACTGCTTCCTCTCTTTACAGAACTAGAAAAGAATTCTAAAATACAGGCTTATACAGAAGAGTCTTTTGTTGAAAATGATACATTAAGCAGACTTTTATCTATCGTCACTGTTGAAGTATAAGCATTCTTTTGGAAGCGAAATAAGAAGACAAGCTTTTCTTTCATTCTGCAGGACAAAAACCTCCACTCACATACATTGCCGCCTATAAGGCACCGTCGAAAAACTCGAGTAAGCACGAATTTTTACCTGAGGTACTTCAGGTATTATCTCGGAAGTACTTTCTGCAATTTCTTATTAAAAGTTTTGCTTCCCGACATAGGGTTTCAAAAACGAAAAACTTGAGCTTTTACTAGTTTTTCAGTATTTTCTCTATAGATCGGGAATCCAAAAAAATACTTTCGATATAAGGCTTCAAGTACCTCTAGTAAAACTTCGAGCTCGACCGGGCGACTTTTACGACATAATGGGCGCCAATGGACAGCCAATTTTTCTCAAAAGCGTGGAAAGGATGACAGATGAAGAGCTAAAACACTTTGCTCTGCTAAGAAAACTCAAAGTCGTTGAATCGTTCACGTCGTCAATCTAAAATGACTGATATACGTAATGAGAAAACTTGGCTTTCCATTGGCGCCCATTATGATCGTAAAAGTCTTCATAGATAGATCTACAGTACAAATTATCGCTGCAAATCACAATCATTTTAATTTAAATTTAGACAAAGATTTATTATTATATTCATGATGAAAATATCGTTGGAGATTTGAATTACTTTTTCTCTTTTGTCAAAACAAAACTAAAAATTTTGTTGAGAATGAGGGATTTAATAGTGGTAATCGCTCATGGTTTTGTTGAACTTGTTTTAAACTCTGTTGCTCATTGCAAAAGCCCTATTACGTGAGTAAGCGAATGGTCTACTTCTACACTTTTTGATTTGTAGGCGATATATGGATGGCTTATATGCTGATTTGCATTATTAGTTTATAAGGAAAGCATCTTTGATGTTTCATATTGCTCCCTCGTTCCATGACAAAGCATCTTGTCTTACATGTTACCAAAGAATCTGTCATATCATAATAGTGAAACCAATCTTGAACCGGCTGTTGATTGGATAGGACTGGTAATATTTCTTCGATAAATGTAGCTAGTTGATCTTCTTGACATAATTTACAACAGATGTGACATAGTTCTCGTCACATGCATCATTTGTCTAGCATTTGTAAATGATATCGGCCTGTCCACCGAAGTTTTCTACCACAAGTGTGATTCTACCACGGTTTTTCACAAAATTAAAATGGGCATAACTTTTTAACAAAAAATAGTAGAGACTCGTGCAACATATTGTTGGAAAGAAGAGACGAAGCTCTATAAAACTGAATCCAAGCGAAATCCTTTCGTTGAGGTGAAAACAATAAAAGATTTTCTATGTTCTTTGACAGAAAAAGAAGTTGAGAGGTACGTAGTTTTTACATTTCTTCCGGTGAACGAAAACTTTTGAAAGAATTTGCTTGAATCTAGCTTAAAAGAGCTTGGTCTGTTCTTCCAAGGAAATGTGGTTCGAGTCTCTACTATTTTTTATTAAAAAGTTATGCCCACTTTAATTCAGTGAAAAACCATGGCGGAATCCCACTAGCGGTAGCAAACTTCGACGGACAGGTCGATGTGTCGTTCAACGCGATTCTGTTCAACACACTCTAAACAATAATGTGTCTTGTACAATGTGTCAGTCGTATAATGCGTTTTATAAGTATCCTCAACATGTCTCGGAAAACGAAAGCGTCTTAATGTGTCTGGCATCTGTCTACAACAAAAAAGGTCAAGACGCTTTAAAGTAAAACAACCCGAAAATGGAAATATTATTTTCCCATTAGCATAGCCTCACATCTTAGCTTGCGAATCTGTGTTTGATAAACTCCAGGAAGACAGGAAGGTTCTGATGGTCGAACCATACTGCATTATGGTCCGCTGAAGTAAAACGTATATGTTTTCAGAAAACTTTCGAGAAAGAGCATGAAGATCAAGAACAAACCGTGCTGCGTTTTGAGCGTATTTTCAAATCGTAATCTGATCTACCAGAAGTCTGGTTGCTATCATGAAGGTATAGGAGATACACGCAGGCGTGCTTAGTCCTTGTTCGTTAGACCCAGCATAAAACTATCTTTACTGTAATGTTAGAAACTATGATCTAAAGAATCGAAATATAAGTCAAAGTCCAAAAGAAGAATGAGAACAGATGATATGGACTATCTTATGTAGATCATGTAGTGCAATGGCGACTGCATACGGCTTCTCAAGCGTAAGATACTAAGTTCAAATCTCCTCTGGACCGCTATATCTACAGAGCTCCGTATGGGCGCAATCTTCTGAGTCTAGTCCAATTCAGTCCATGGACTGGAAAATTCTAGTCCAGTTCAGTCCGAGTCCATGAAATACAGTTTTTTCAGTCCGTGGACTCTAAAAAGTAGTTCAGCCCAGTCCACGATACGAAAACAATCTGTTTTTCCTCGATTCAAGGAAACCAAAAATTTTTTCCAAGTTCGCACCAGTCCATGGTCTTGAACTCAAAAAATGTTCAGTTCTGTCCATATGAGCTGGACTGGGCTATAGACTATGTCCAGTCCATATGGAGCTCTGATATCTATTTCCTTCTTGTTTTGAGTCTTACTGGAAGATACATTCAAATGTCTACGGTTTATAGATACATAAGGTATCTTCTACGAAGACGTGTTGAAACATCTTTTCCCGTTCTGGCTTGTGCGTCTTACTGCAAGGCACATTATTTTTTAGTGTGTATATTCGGTATAACGGATTACAATTCACTGCCGAATAAAATAATCATATCCATAATCAATTTTCTCGTCAGATAGAAAAAAATCAGCTTAAATTTTATTTTGTGTTTTGGTTAGATATGAACGGGCCAAGGCTTATCAGTCGTGGTTCCGGTGGCAGTCCTATATAGTTGTTTCAGTCACGGAAGATTTTTATGGTCCTGGTTCTGGTTTGGACCTTAAAGCAATTCTACTCACACGGAAAAAATACTCTGTTAATGTCGGGAAGTTCAGGAGCTTTCTAATCGACAATAGGTATCGACAGTCTCTTATTTGTTCCTTAATGGATGATATATGCCATGTGTTTCTTCTTCTGAACAATAATTACTGAGAAGAAACCAGCGATGATATCAACACTTTTATTTTTTGAGCAAGAACAAATAAGTGGTGTCTTTTTTAATATTGTATCATTGTAATTGTTCTGGTGAGCTTTAGTAAATCAAGCAAAATGAGACAGTGAATAAAAAGTAAATAGATGCCGGCTTTTCGCCCTCCCTATTCAGTTGTATCAATACAAGTTCTTGAAAAAAACAAATGACGAAACCGCTTTAGAAAATAAAAATTCATCGAATTTGGCTTTTTTTCGAACAACTTGAGCTGAGTTTCATTTTGCAAAAGTATTTATTTTTCCACCTTGTTGTGGTTTTTTTCCCCATTCAACTATTGTTTTCATTCACTTTTAAGATTTTGACGAGACTCAAAATATTTGTTTAATTAAAAAATTTTTTATTCATTCAAAATGTTTTATTTATTTGCTTAAATTTGTAGAAAATGAAATTTTGACCAGATTACCCACTGGAACAATAACTGTTTCATCGCAATAAGGAACAGTAGACTTCCGGCCGAACTATGACAACTCCAGAGACACTGAATGAAAGTATGAGAAGGTCCATTTTCGATCCTAGTATGGTTTAGTTGAAAATCTGAAGCTTCGTTGCTCTTGTTTATTTGACAAATTGAAAAAATAATGTTACATTTTCGTCATCCATTTTAACAGATTTTTCGTTAAAAGTAATATATAACGGCTTATTCATCCACATGAGTTTTGATAGGTAGTACTGCTATTGGTGTGGTAGGGGGTGCTTGAACAGCTTCTTGCCGTCGTTGAATTTCTTGTTTAATCAGAGCTTGCTGTATTTGTGATGGCAAACCAGGATGAAGATTAATAGCAAACGGTAAAATCATGTCTGATAAATCTGCAAAATTAACAGTAATTTTAATAAACATTGTATCATCTTTTACATAATTATTGTCATCTTGTTGTATCATTGTTAGAGGAAAGAATTTGGAAATGCCAGAAGCAACATTCATATCGGAACGTGGTTGTTGAAATGAATTTGATTTAATGTCAGGTTGAAAGGAGTCTATAATATGTCGTCCTTGACCTGACTGATCATATAGACAAAATGAGACTTTATGATTAAATGGCCACTTAAGAATAGTATCATATTCGCCTCTCAGCAAAAGGAAGTAGAGTGACATGTGTGTACCACGTGCATTTCCGTCACCATACAGATATAATCGAGCTCTCATTTTATAGCCAGTAGGTGATGAGTAGAAGGGTGGTGAATGTATTGATGTCTGTCGTTCACTTTGAGCATCACACTTTTTCTCAGAAACATTTGTTATCATCCATATGAGTGCACCATCAAACGAGACTGATTCAATATCAGCCACTTTCTGTTTTAGACTCGACAGTTCCTGTTGAAGTATCTCTTGACTAAGACCAAGTCCAGTCAGATATGTATCCTTTTCTCCCATTATCTTTTTTAATTTATTGAATTCCTGTATTATTGCTTGACATAAATTATCAATACCCGAAGATTCTGCATTCAGTCTAACAGCAGCATTTTGCAAAGTTTGAACTCCTTGAGTCAATGTTGTCAAGATAGAATAACACTTCTGTAATTCGTCATATAAATCATTTACTCGAGTTGAATTATTTGTCGCCTCTGTGGCAGATCCTATTGTTTCGACTTCCATAGATGAAGCGTTAACTGAAATTGTCGTGTTCATCAGTAGTAGCATTTTCTCAAGAAATACAAGAAGACTTCTCTGATGTTGTTCTGTATTTAAATGAGCTCCAAAATCTTTTCTCATTACCTAAATGATGCAAAATTATTATTTAAATAGCGTGAAAGACTATAACTCACTTGTCTGTGACACCCATAATTAGTTAGTGAACATTGTACTGAGTCGCAACTTCCATGTCTTTCATTCAGGTGAGCCTGAACAGAAGAAAACGTTTTATAGTGTGTGAAAGCTCTACTTGTATTATACCTGATAATCTTTTAATTTCCCAGACCATGTACAGTTATGCAGTCTATTGATGCATAGCACGTCTAATTTATCTAATTCTTTGCCAAAGCCCTTGTCAGGCATACACTGCAAACGAATAGCTCTGAGACTCATATCGCTTAAGAACATTTTATAAAGCCATTCAGCAGAATTTATGATAAAAGGACCGTTAACAGCTTTTGATCCGGTTTTTCCCTTAGTTAGAGGCTGAGAATCTTTCCTCGTACCTCTAATGTCCGTATTGCCTCTCCACATCCTGGACATTTGATTATTGTTCCATGTCTAGAAATAAAAGCTCTACATTTAGAGAATATTATACAAGTCTCGTTTCAAGAGAAATATAGCATATACTTATTTTACTCATCTATTTTTGAGAGGCATTCGAGACAGAATCTATCACCACACGATAACTGATTGGGCTCTCTGAGCAACAGATTACATAATGAACATTTGTATTTGCAATGAATTTCATCTTTATTTTGGACATCATATCCGGGCATCGAATACTGACACTAAAGAGAGAAAAGAGATCGGCTGGGCACACTCGATTAGCTACTATAAACATTAATACCTTTCATTTATTTAAATAACTAATCAAGTTATTATTTGTAAAACTATGCCATAAGTGATTACTCATGATTATCAGATACAGACTTTGTATGTAATAAAGTGAACTTTATGAGGATGGAGTAGGAAGTTGTTTGTGACAAACAGCTTCCTACTCCATCCTCATAAAATTTACTTTGTTCAAATATGTGGTCATGTTTTCTGTTGTGATAACGTCATGAAAATTAAAAAAAGTGATATCCAATATTACGAATAAATAAGATATATTACGAAAAAGACATCATGAAGGTAATATATGTCGTTTCGGGGTCAGTCGATAGCATATAGCAACTTAGATATATTGATACTTGAAAAAAATATAATTTATTATCTACTTTGAAGTATTCTTTACATAAAACTATAAAACAACTTGTATTTATGACATAATAAAAAAATTTCATTGTTTTAGGGCTTTTACCTTTTTTGTCGTGGTCAGTGTAGTTGAGTTTACTAATCAACGCATACTCATGGTTGTTGAATTTTATCAAAACTTTTAATTGTATCAGCCTTTGTTCTTTGTTTCTGCTTCTACGGTCCTACAAACTAGTTGCCAGTGCGTTTAATGGTTAAGTATAATTGATTTCTCGTCTCTACTTCGATATAGAACGTTTTATTGGAGGATTCAGATCTACCGTAGTTTAGCTTATGTTCTAGGACATGAGATAGTGTTGCGAGATTGTGCTATAAACTAGTTCGTATAGCTTGCAAACGAAAGGTTATTGCCGAATTAAGAAGCTTCTAAATCCCGAAAACGTTAAAACCGGAGAGGTATCTCATTTATTCAGACAAATACGAAGGCAAATTTTTGAACAATGAACACTTTTTCTCAAGACGCTCAGAAAAAGTGAAACTAGGTGTGTTCCTCTGCAGAAGTACTGATTTCAAATAAAACTTTACACTTAGTTTTGTCATGAATAATGTATCAAAGTCTTGACTTGAAAATGCCAGAAGCCTGAACTTTCTAGCTTACTCTGTTCTTGGGTTCAACTTCATTCTCATATTGCCGACTAATTCTATCGATTGATCTTCCTCTCTGGTACAAGCTAGTAGAAAGTATTTTATGTCGAGTTTAGGACAGATGCTCGCTTGGACAGATGCTCATCGGACACTTGCTCATTGGGACTTATGAGACTGATATTCAGAACCCCTATGAGAATTTTATAAAAATTTGAAACAAGAGACTGCACATAATCATACGAATCCAAACAGAGTTATCTATACAGGAAACAAAAAAGCAAAGACCATTTATAACGACAGTAAACGTCCGATAGCTTGTAACTGCTCATAAACTGTTGGATGAGGGGTCTCCACCAAACTATGTAAACGCTTATTTAGTGACTCATATTGTTTCTGGATTGCTGGTTCACGGCCAGATTTTGCATTCACTGTATCTGAATGTAAACTATTTTCTTCCTTGATCAGTTTATCTAAAAATGTCCATAAAGTCGGATGATAACATTGGAATGCACAGTTTAATTTTCGGTGCCACGCTTCAATTTTATTATTTGTTCGATGTTGATTATTCAAAACTCGGTTATGCATATTCCAGAAACGAACTGGAAACATAGGTTCTCTTCTTGTGCTACCACCAACTCGACCTGAATAAATAATGTAATAAACAATGTAAAACAGTTTTAGTGAATTTTTGGAATTTATATACATACCAATATATGTGTCTTCAATATAATCTAGAATAGGTGGATAATCATCACCAAATTTTGAACATAATAATTCGAAACCTTCTACTACTGATGTTGGTTCCAGAAATGGTAGCGAGGCAATTTTGTGAATATTATCGGCGAACTCAACGTCTGTTTCATATTGTTGTTTAAAACCATTGGCCTAAATGAATGTACGATAAAGATTTTTATTTCAACAACACAAGACATTTTGATACTTACCTGTAAAAAACGAAAGTAGACTTTGGCATAAATGAAAGTAACAACCACTAAGTTCAGCTGTTGGGAAGCTACCACCAAATGCATTCATAGAGGCTTTTTCAAAATCCATCATTATTCGATCTGGATTCCACGTTGGTATAAATTCAGTGATCTCATTAATCATTTTCTGGTATATTCTTGTTGATTTACTCTGTAATAAAACTACGTTATTGTTCTTATTTAAAGTATTCGGTGAGCAAGTGTCCGATGAGCATCTGTCCAAGCGAGCATCAGTCCATGCGAGCAACTTGTCATACTAGCAACTGTCCGTGAGCAACTGTCCTCGTGAGCAACAGTCCGTTTCCCTTTATGTCAATAGCAGATACTCTCTACAGAACAATAAAGAATATAAAGCTGATAAGACGCGTTTGATTAGTATTTTGTGTTTGTTAACATTGTCGAACAAGTTTTTCATATAACTCAAAAACTTTATTCTTATAATTAACAGACGGCAGAATGTAAATGAAAAGGTTGTAACCGATGATAAATAGAAAAAGAAATAGCCCAACAAAATTAAATACGGATCATGTGTGGGTATCATACAAACATATGCAAATAACATAATCAGACGAAGCAATGCCAGAATGAACAAAATCGATGGACTAACAATTAGATGTTTACCCAAGCGTTAAAAAAAAATCTAATATCGTCCGATTCACCTAGATTACTAAATCTAGTAGATGGGCAATTAGTAGATTTTATCTAGTTGCAACTATCTATTGATCGCCCGATAATCGATCGATTTAACTATTGCTAGATGCACATGCGGACGCATCTAGTTAAAAGTCCCTTTTCCAACTAGTAATCTAAATAGCAAGTAGTCGTGTATCGCCCGATTATAGATCAAATGTATCTAGATTTTTCCCATAGGCGATGTTTGCTTGGGTATGTATGGATGAGCTGTATTTTTAATATTTGTCAAAACGATTGACTCGCATATGCAGTTAATTTTGCACCAGCTGATTTTATAATATTATTCTTCACTACCCAGTCAGCCACCTATATCTTTTGAAAATTCGTTTTAACGCGGTTTGAGCATTCATAGAGCGCGAGAATATACAGTTTCACCATGATTACAGCGAATTTCTTTGAGGTTTAAATATACGCCTTACTCAAAACCGCGTTTTTGCCATCAATATTTCGCGAGAAACGCGTTTATGACCATCATAACGTTTTAAAAACGTGTTTTCAATCGCAATAGACTTTAAGACTCGCGAACGGCACCGAATTTTGAGTAGTTGCCTAATTCGAGTTCGAATATAAATGCATATTCTTTATATCTATATCTATCTCTATGAATATAGATCTACGTCTATATCCATATACATACATAGGTAGGGATATGTCCTGTAGATGCAGATATGGTTAGGAAAAGATTTAGTTTTATTTATACATATATAGATAGATAGATAGGGTATGTCCTGTAAATGTAGATTTAGTTAGGAATAGATTTAGTTTTATCTATACATATATACATACATAGGTAGGGATATGTCCTGTAGATGCAGATATGGTTAGGAATAGATTTAGTTTTATTTATACATATATAGATAGATAGATAGGGTATGTCCTGTAGATGTAGATTTAGTTAGGAATAGATTTAGTTTTATCTATACATACATAGATAGATAGATAGGATATGTCCTGTAGATTTAGTTAGGAATAGATTTAGTTTTATCTATACATACATAGATAGATAGATAGGGTATGTCCTGTAGATGTAGATTTCGTTAGGAATAGATTTAGTTTTATCTATACATACATAGATAGATAGATAGGGTATGTCCTGTATATGTAGATTTAGTGAGGAATTGATTGACAACTTATTATCTTTCAAATATCAAGACAAAATTCATAATCCGGGTATTCGTGATGAATATGTTAATGATTCAAGCATCATTTCATTGAAGTAGGTCCCATTTTTAATTCCATCGGCCTTAATTGATTGCTTTTACGTCTACGCATTCTACAAAATTATTTATTGAACCAGAATGATCCTCATCAGATGAACAATGTCCAACACTTATTGACTTGAATCAACAGTCATCACAAAAGCAACAAACAACACATTGTCATGATGATAAAAAAATTCTCCGTGATGACGCCATCAAGCAAGTCATGAACACTATCTAAGAATTCATTTAAATTATTTCCACGTTAATTCTTATGAAATAAACGGTCACGATGAACGTAAGATAATGAATTAAATAGAAAATATGATATAAAGTGATTGAAAGTTACCATTTCAAGAAATTGTTTGCGATTTTCTGCAATTTCTTCGATAAGTGATATGAGTGTATAGAAAACAAAATTCATTTGATATAACGATAAAAAATATTCTATTCAAATTTATATTTTTATGTTTAGAGATCCATCACATTGCTTATTGAAAACTCACAATTGTTACTCACCAACTACCTCATACACTCACGAACAACCACCACTAATGTCTATCTACATCCACTACCCCAAAAAAATTACTATATCAGTTAAAACTCATTTCTATCCAAGAAAAACGATGTCATAATCATAGCTATTGTTATTATTATTGGAACAACAATTCTTATCAATATGCATAACCAAAACTAAATCAATTCCTCACTAAATCTACATATACAGGACATACCCTATCAATCTATGCATGTATGTATAAATAAAACTAAATCTATTCCTAACTAAATCTACAGGACATACCCTATCTATCTATCTATGTATGTATAGATAAAACTAAATCTATTCCTAACTAAATCTACAACTACAGGACATACCCTATCTATCTATCTATGTATGTATAGATAAAACTAAATCTATTCCTAACTAAATCTACATCTACAGGACATACCCTATCTATCTATCTATGTATGTATAGATAAAACTAAATCTATTCCTAACTAAATCTACATCTACAGGACATATCCTATCTATCTATGTATTTATATATAAATAAAACTAAACATATTCCTAACCAAATCTGCATCTACAAGATATAATCCTACCTATGTATATATATATAGTTATGTCCAACCATTTATTTTCGAAGTGATAGTAAGCAGTTGAGGTCGATTTATATTCGAACTCGAATCAGGCAACTCATGAGCAACATGGGTGATTACACGAAAGCACTTGAATATTACGAGAAATCACGTAAAATCTACATAATAGCCCTACCTGAAAATCATCCCAGTTTTGCTTATTGTCATCTCAATTTCGCTGCGTGCTACGAAAAAACGGGCGATTATACGACAGCCCTTGTGGCAATTGCAAAAGCGTTCCAGATTCAAGAGAAAACATTCGATGAGAACAATCAGGCGGTTGCTTACATATAGTTGGTGGGGAAGAGTTTATCGGGGTATGAAAGAGTATTCAAAGGCACTGGATTATTTTAAAAGGTGTCTCGCAATAGACCTAAAAGCGTTACCAGAAAAACATCCGGATCTTGGAATTTCATACAGTAACATTGGTGATGTTCATCGATTAATGGGTGATTATGAAGAGGCACTCTCGTTCCTTCAGAAGGCGTTAGATATCCAGGAAAATGTTCGATGTAATCCTCTGGCTTGCGCAACAACGTATATTTATCTCGGTGAAACGTATCTCGAGACCAAAGATTATACGACGGCAGTGGGATTTTTTCAACACGGATTGGAAATTCGTGAGGAAAAACTACCAAAAACCCATCTTGATTTAGCAGTTGTTTATCACAGTATGGCAAAATTATATTTAATTACTCAACAGTATGGTGTAGCGATGAGAAATGCTCAAAATGCACTGGAAATTGCTGAAAAAACATTAGGTCGAAATCATCCTCATACCATTGATTACAGGAAAACATTCGAAAAAATTTC